AAAATAATTGAAAATGGTGTGATTCTATTGTGTTATTTTGACAAATAAATATGCAGAATTTTAAAATACTGTGCACAGAATTTTTAATTTTTGTACAGAATCTTTAATTTTTGGTGCAGAATTCCCTCAGGAGTAACTGACACAATAATGGCTGAAGAAGGCAGTACTCCCCGGGAGAGTCAGAACCCAATTTGCAGGGAACCCTGTGTTGCAAAATTTAGATTCTCTTGATTTCGCCATGTCATCCCTTCAAAAAATTCTCATCATATGCTCCTCAGTCCCTCTGCATAAAGCCACTATAGACAGTGCTTAATTTGTAATGAAAGAGGTGCCAGGGCTCAAGCAATTTTTTTTACTTTCGTAACTGATGTGGCAAGCCCAGAGGTGCCGGGGCTATGAACTGCCAAGCCCAAAGGTGCCGGGGCTATGAACTGCCAAGCCCAAAGGTGCCGGGGCTATGAACTGCCAAGTCTAGAGGTGCCAGGGCTCAGCACTGGCACAAATTAAGTACTGACTATCGAGAACCCAGTGTGAGTAGGTAAGCTTCAAACAGCAACATCTTATTTTCCACCAGTCCCAAGTCTGGCATCATTTATTCCCAAACTCAGCAGAGACCTAATCTCACAGCATGATGCAGTGCTGCTGCCCTAGGGGATTTTCCAGAGACAGGTATTTTATTATAAAGGTATGATAAACGGTGAGTAACCCAACCAAAGATTTCCCAAACAGGGCAGGTACAGTAAGTAGGTATTTTTACCTCTCGATTGCTCAAGATTTCATATTTATTTGGATCTGGAGATGCAAGAACATTTTAATGCAATTTTACATTAAACTCTTGCTATTGAAAACATTGATTTAAAAAAATGATGATAGGAAGATCAAGCTATTCATCCAACAATCTCAAAGTGCTTTACAAAGATTAAACTAACCCTTTTAATTCCCCAGTAAGGTGGATATTACTGTGCCCGTTCTACAGTTGAGTTATTGGAGGCTCAGAGCAGTTAAGTGACTGCCAGAACTCATATGCAGCGCGTCAGCAGCAGAGCCAAGAACAGAACCCAGGAGTTTCTGGTTCCTTGTCCCTTGTTTTTGCACAGGGGTCACACTTCCTGTACAAATGCAGGGTACAACATGATAAAGTGCTTGGAAAAATGCAAAAAGACAGTAATTCATGCAGGAAAATTAGCAATGATCAGGATCTCTCTAACTCTCTTATGCATGAAATAAACCAAGGATCTTGGGGCTCCCAGTGCTATCCAATGAGTTACTATATTTCCAAAATTTTATAAAGCACAATTTTTTTTTAAAAAGCAGCCGATCACCTGCTAAAAGAAAAAACATTGACTAGTTTTATAATTAAATAAATGCGAGAATGTGTGTGGATTAAGTTTTTGGCCTACAGTCAACAAATACCAAGAGCCCAGCCAAAAAAAGAATTAGGCCACAGAAATTCAACTGAAATGGTTCACTTTGAAAATGCTCCCAGCAGCCGAACCTGCAGGTGAAATGTTGTAACACAGGTGATTGCCCAACATAGTAACACTGCCCGCACATGTTTAACTAATGTACCAAACCTAAAGTACAGGCATGGCTTGTTCAGTGGCTTTTCGTAAAGTCAGATTTATTTTTCTCTAAAAAAAAACCTGAGTTATCCTTTCCATGTCAAGCAGCATTAGGTACATAAAAAATAAGTTTAAAAGGGGCTTTAGTACAGAAACACTCTAACTCATCTTTGTTCAACTAAATTAAAAGACGGGTAAATTTTAACATCCCTTTGGGTACGTCTGCACTGCAAGCGAAGCACAGTATGGGTAGGCATACACTTTATAACTTTAATCTAGCTAGCATAGATAACAATAATACAAAGATGTGGCAATACTGGTCAGCAGTGGCTAGCAACCTGACTATAGAATCTAGAAATGTAGGGTTGGAAGGGACCTCAAGAAGTCATCAGGTCCAGCCTCTTGCGCTGAGGCAGGACCAAGTACACCTAGACCATCCCTGACGGGTGTTTGTCCAACCTGTTCTTAAAAATCTCCAATGACAGGGATTCCCAAACCTCCCTTGGAAGCCTGTTCCTGATCTTAAATACCCTTATAGTTAGAAACTCTTTCCTACTATTTAACCTAAATCTCCCTTGCTGCAGATTAAGCCCATTACTTCTTGTCCTATCTTCAGTGAACATGGAGAATAATTGATCACAGTCCTCTTTATAAGAGCCCTTAACGTATCTGAAGACTGTTATCAGAGATGGGAAAAATACCACTTCATTATATAACTTTGCCATATAGAGTATACTGTGTGTGGATTGAGTACAATAATTGTAAGAGGTAATGTGGTATCTTGGAGATACTTCAGGGAAATCAAATTTTCTGACTTCTTCACTACTATGACTATCAGCTTGGAGGAATAAACTGTGAACCTGGGTTCATCAGCTGAAGTCTTATTGCAGAAGTTTAGTTCTATTTCATCTTCTGGATGGATTTGTCCTCAATATAAAAAGGCCCAGGAATATTGCAGCCAAGCACAGAGGGATTTTATTAACATCAATCAAGAATATGAATATGTTTTCCTAAGACTGGAA